TTACCCAGGCCAGGCAGCTGCGAGGATCAGCTGTGACCACTGACCACCAACTTCCACCCTCCACGGAGGATCAGCTGTGCAGGGGCAGAGTGGTGGTGCTCCAAAGTGATCCGTTGCTGTCTGCTGGGTGCAGAGGCTCTGAGGTTTCTCAGGTGGTACAGGCCAAGCTCAGCCCCAACCTGTGTTTTGCCTGGAGCTGCCCTGCCAGAGCTATAAAGCAATCTGAGATGTCTGCTACTTGTGCTGGACTTGGAGATTCCCAGGCAAAGCAAAATTGTGAAACTAATCTGGTTGCTGTTGGTTGCTAATCTGGAGTTCACTGAGGCCAGCTGTTGCTTGTTTGATAGGATTTAGGAAGCTGTGAAGAATGAGCAAGACCAGTTATTCCTAGGGAAAGGTAGCTTGGGTGGGCCATAAATTGGATAGGGTGGAGTCTCTGAGGATCTCCAAGGTGTATCAAATAGTGTTAGCCAGGTTGATGGAACCTCAAATATGGCACCAGCCTGCTCGTTCTGTGCATCTGTAGGGGGAGAGCCCAGAAAAGGGACAATGGCCTCTGTTGGCCCTGATGCCAGACACTTCAGCCTCTCCCAGTATGCCACTGGTGCTGTTCAAGCTGCCACCCCAGTGCTGAAGCTCAGAGAGAATGAGTCTGAGTAGGTGAGTTCATGTGTGGTTTTTTTAAGAGGAACTGCTTGGGGCTCCAGAACTTTCTTCCATTCATTCAACCCTCACTGGTTTTTGCAGCCAGAAGTTGTGGGGACTTATCTTCCTAGCTCTGGAACCCTGGGCTGGGGGGCCTGCTGTGGGGCTGGGGCTCCTCACTCCCAAGATATCCCTCCTGAATTTTTATCCACCACACATGGGTTAGAGACCAGCTTGTTCTGTGTCTGCGCCCCTCCTACCAGCCTGGATGTATGTGGTTTCTTTAATTCCATAGTTGTCAGACTTCCATTCAACTCAATTTCTGACATTTCTGAGTGACAGTTGTCCCATATTTTAGTTGTAATTTTGATGTGGTTGTGCAAAGAGACGAGCCATGTCTGCCTACACCGCCATCTTGACTGGAAGCCTCTCATTCCTGGTTCTTCATTTAGCATGGTTCTAAGTCCCCTTGCCTGCCATCCTGAGTACATTCCTCTGAATACATCCCCCTGTAGTTCTTACCACCCTCAAGTGGGGGCCTTCGAATAAAATTTCGGATAAGTTGGGATTAAGAAGCAGGTAGATATGTACCTATGTGCACAGCTGTGGGCAGTTTTCACCATGGCAGGGTTTACCGCCATCAGTGCCCTTGTCCCAGCGACCTGCTCCAGATGATCCAACATGCATGAGCTGCTACCATGGCAATGCCCTCGCCAGTCTCCACAGAGGGTGCGGAGATGAATCAGAGAAATTTTCACTTCTCAAAAAATCGACAGCAGTAGAGCTAGGCCATGTAACTCCGAGGAAGGAGAAGTCACAGTGTTAGGGATGGAGAGTATCAAAGAGACTTACGTGGAACTTGAAAGATTGGCAGGAGGAGGCTCTTACGAGAACCCTGGCAGCATGTAATGGAAACCAAATCCAGCTGCCAGCAGTGGCCACAAGAAGGACGGGCTGGAGGACAGAGATGTTATAAAAGGACTCTATAAGGCTGAGAGATTTGCTATCATTGGGAGATCAAAGATGGGAAGGGCACGCCAAAATGTCCTTGAGGTCACCCCTGGGTTCCTGGGACAATAATGAGATGGGAAGGGAAGCTGAGAAGTCAAGGCAAAGAGCTGGTTCCAGGGAGAGAAGCGCAATTCAGGTTGGGAGAGCGTGAAATGTAGGGAATGGGACCGCCCACCAAGGGTCAGAGCAAACCGCCTGGAGCAGGAGAGAGCCACCGGGGCTCCGTGGGTGCACTGGGCACTCCCCTGAGCTGCGAAGGTTTCTTCTACCTGCAGGCAGGCAGAGAGGCTGAGTTAGCCCAGGGGCCCCACCTGAACGGGAGCCCTGGTTCTCGGCGGGAGAGTGACAGTAGAGAGGCCCGGCATCGGGAATCTTCAAAACAGAAATACTTTGATTAGAGGGAGTGTCTTTTGAAAACAAGCACAATCTATATTCTAGATGAGCTTTTAGTCATAAAATGAGTTTCATATTCTAACAAAATATTTAATCCTCATCTGAGGATATGTTTATTGACTTTTAGGGTTGGGGGGGGAGAGAAATGTAGACGTGAGGAACATCAGTCGGTTGCCTCCTGTACGTACCCCCACCTGGGACTGAACCTGCAGCCTTTTGGTGGATGACGTTCCAGCCGACTGGGCCACCTGGCCAGGGCTGGTGGTTATATTTTTGAAAGTTAAAACAACATGAAGTGAGAAGGTGAGATGTATTTATTTAAATACTCATTGAATGAAAAGCCATGGATGAAAAACTGATTGGAAAGATGAGCTTGTGAAGATTATTGTAAGTGGGCATCGGAAGGGACAAATTTGATTTTGTTCTTGGGAAGAGGACAAGGCAGGGCTTAGGTATCACACATGATGGGACACACATACACACACACACACACACACACACACACACACACACGTACACGTATACGTATATGACTAAAAATGCTCTCATTCTGGAAAGTCCAGAATTCCACCTTGATTTTCTCAGCTTCCTGGCATGGACAGTGCTGGGAGCAGAAGTGGCGGTCTGTTCCCAAAGTTCTGTCAGTGACTGCCAGCGTCTGTCCCCAGGGGCCTGCAGCCACCCACCCTGTGCCTTTCCACTTTGCTGGGATTTGATGAAAATGGCATTTGGAGTCAAAAAACAAGTGGTGGGTGGAAGGGCCTGAAGAGACCCGACTGGACCGAAATAGTACAATCCAGCCCATCGGGAGTGCAGGGCGGGTTAACTGAGACCAATGGGGTTAGTGCTAGGTGGCTCAGAGCCGGGCCTGACCGCAAGCCCAGGCAGCAAACGTCTCGGGGGAGGAAAATAATCAATCTGGCTCAAATTATTGTGACCAAAACAAAACCAGATACCATAGGGTGATGCAGCCTCGCCACAGAGGGGAACGTGGTGTGCTGATGGGAGTATCGCCCTGAGGAAGAGGAGTGCTTGGGGTTTGGTGCCAGAGGGAGCCCTGAGCCAGCCACCTGCCAGCCTCCCTAGCCCGCAGTCCCCCCTGTGTCTGGGTAGCCTTTCCTGCCACACCTTGTAGCCGTGAGTGTCCCAAAGTTTGAGTTTATTCAGGGTGAGACCGGGCCAGGGAAGTGGGGGACAGAACAGACTTCCATGGCCCTGGCACAGGCAGGGGTCGAGGCCACTCCTTAAACATATGACTCTTGGTGGTTACTTGATAGAAGGAAGCCTGAAGTAACCCAATGGACATTCTTGTCCTCTGACAGCCCAAAGAACACTTCATTAAAAATTTCGCTTAGGCCACTTAGAGTGAGAAATTGAACCCCTAATGACCGTGGTGGGTGGTTTTCATGATGGTTTATATGTGGGTGGGAGTATGGACCAACTTCCCGGCCACCGACATGGGAAATTGTGGCCCCTTGCGCTACTCGTGGGTTCTGTGACCACCTCGTCAGCCCCTCTTTCCCTCAAGGAAGAAAAGACTGTCCCTGCTGGTTCCCAGGGAGCCCCGTAAGCCAGTGTCCACTGAGCGCCTTCCATAGGCTGGGAACATTGTATGGATTATCTGTCAACAGCAATGAGAGGGAAGTGCAATTATTCTAATGTTACAGCTGAGGAGTGGGTCTCAGGAGAGTGCAGTGACTTGGCCAACCTCACTCAGCTGGCGTTGTAGAGGTGGAGTGTGAGCCCCAGGCTGCCCAACTCCAGAGCACATGCCCTTGCCACCCGCATTGTCCTGCCCTGAAGAAGGGCCAACTTTTCACTGGTCTTTGGACCAGGGGACATGGGCAAGTGGAGATCTGAGAGCTTCATTCTGCCGGACACTCTCAGCACTTGCCAAAAAGTGAAACTGACTAGCACAGCATGGAAGGAGCACAGCCTCTAGGGGGCCGCTCCCCAAATGCTCTCCCACTGAGTCTGGCCATGAAGCACCTCGGCCCACGTCAGCCACTTCCAAGACGCAGGCAGGCATTGGGAGCCCGTGGCCACTGCAGTCCCCACACCAGCACTGGGGGGTGCAGCAGAGGAAACAGCACACACATCGACAGCAGCGTCTCTCTAGAGAAAACCATGTCCCAGCAGTGGGCCAGAACCAAGACCGCTGTCCCCAGGACCCAGTCTGGGCCTCCGTGTTTAAGGGCAGGAGGAAATCCCATGCCTCCATGAAGGGGCCAGTGTAAATGAGAGAAAAACTCGGCAACGTGGCCAAGGCAGTTTTCAACGTGACCTCCCTTGGACTGGACTGGAACTCTGATTTGTGTGGTTTTGCTGTTGAACAAAATACCAAGAGGCTGAAGATGCCAGAAGCAGAGTAGGGACATGTTAGTTCTGAGCTGTTCTGAAGGAATTCAAACCTGGCAACCAGCACAGCTTCCTTTCGCCAGTCTGTAGGGATCGATGGGCAAGGTAAAGACAGAGCCCGTGTCGGCAAAGGACCGTCAGTCATCCTGGGACTCAGACCCCACGGAGATTCTGGCAGCGACATGTCAGGGCCAGTGACTGTGCAAGGGTTCAGGGGCCAGGGCTCTTTATCACAACACACACACAGCCAAACACAGGAAGGACAGCCCTTGATTCAGGAAGGAGGTTTATTCGCCATTTAATACAGGAGCTCAATTACATTTTAAAAGATTTTGAAGCACTGGAGTAGAACCAAAATTCAAGAAGCGAGACTGGAGCAGACAAAACAATAGTTTTCATGGAAGACGAAAGAACATTGAAAAAATAATCAGCCTAAGGCACAAGAAGGAAGCCACTACTCAGAAGTATCTGCTGCCCTGCGATTCGATGAAAAGGCCTTCAGTAGTTTGGCGTTTCTAGAAGACGAGGCAAGGTGAGGGCAGTCCTAGCCCCAGTGCGAGCGGCCCCAACCTCCTCCGCTGGAACTCAGACCCTCAGAATGAGCCCCCAGCACAGGCTCCGCCGGCTGAGGAAGGCCCACAGGCGGGCGGGGCACAGCTGGGACGAAGGGTGCAGGAGGCGGGTGTAGAGCAGGGATTGCAGGGAAGTCTGCAGGAGAGAGAGAAGGAGGAGTTAGACATGAAAAATAAGATGTCTCAGTGATGGGGACAGAAAGGGCCAGACCAACATGGTAGAGGAAAGGCCTGCCACAGACAAACCACACAGCCCAACAGAAGCTCCTTCATCAGGCCCCCTTCCACACTCAGCTGTGTCTTTCCATATCCAGGTGTCCTCTCGGGGAGCATGGCTTAGGGACCCGGCTACCAATTGTGCACCAGTCTATAAACAGTACAGTGTGTGCACACCAGCAACAGTAAATGAGTCACTAAGCGAGGCCCGTCCCTTAGGATGAGATCTCCTTCCCGGAGCGCATCTGTTATCTCTGAGGAATCTGACAGTCAGGAATGTGGCTTGGCCAGGAACTGCCTAGATCACACGTACTTGCAGTCCTCGCTCTCGAGCAGGTTCTGGTACGTGCTGATCTCGTCCTCCAGCCGGGCCTTTGTATCCAGCAGCACCTGGTACTCCTGGTTCTGCCGCTCCAGGTCGGCCCGGATCTCCGCCAGCTGCTCCTCCACAGTGCTGATCAGGCTCTGCATCTGCGCCAGCTCGGTGCCGTAGCGGGCCTCAGACTCACACAGGGAGTTCTGCAGACAGTCTTTCTGTGGTGGGAAATTGGGGAGAGTGTCCCAGGGGATGAAAAAGGCAGGAGTGAAAATCATGGCCAAACCCACCAGGCAGGGGGCGAAGTCTAAGCAGCCGCGGGCATGCCCAGAGCTCCGGAGAAAGCACTATCAGCGTGACCGTGTGTTTTCACATACACAACAAAAATCTAACTTGAACTGTGTCATGCCCCCCCCAATACCCCAATACTTGACGTGAAGTAGAAACCCAGCAAAATCTTGTGAAATGATTGCCTGAGCCCCTACACCTTGTTCTGAAGAAGTTGATTGCACTTTTAATAGAAACTGTTTTCTGGGTCCAACTAGCCTTTGCAGCAAGTCACCTCCACCAGGGAGAGAGGAACCCAGATCGAGCCCTAACTTAATGTTAATGGAACTGATCAGGCAGACTTCTCAGAGATGCCGCCCCCGGGCCAGGGCTGCGGCACTCGCAGCACATCAAGGGTGAAGGAGGGCCCGTACCAGGTTGTGCTGGGCTTGGCGCTCCACCTCCAGGGCGTTCACCGTGCACCTCAGCTCCAGGATCTCCGACTGGCAGCACTGCAGCTCCTCAGAGCAGGACATGGCCTGCAGGCTGATGCCCTCGGACTGAAGCGCAGCACACAGAGACGTGACCATCTCCCTGCCCAGGTGGGAGCCGGGCTTCCCTGCCCCCCGCTCCGCAGCCCCACCTCACCTGGGCTTGGAACCACTGCTCCACGTCACGGCGGTTGGTCTCCACCATGGCCTCGTACTGGCACCGCATCTCCTCCAGCACCCGGCTCAGGTCCACGGAGGGCTCCGTGTCCAGCTCAATGCGGAGCCTGTCTCCCAGCTGGCACTTCAGAGTGTTCACTTCCTTCAGGGACAGAAGAACCCACACCCTATGTGAGAAAAGAGCTTCCGGCAGAGCAGACAGCATCTGCACCCCTGTCCTGACAAGCAGTATGAGGGGTGACCCCACATACACGCTGATGTGAAAGGTCTTGTTGCTGGGGCCAATGGGAGGAGCCCACTGGGAGACCCCCGCCCCGAACTCATAAGGCAAACCTTTAGAAAAGAAACCCCCATTCTGCCCCATCCCACAGAGTCCACCTGACTCAAACCCAGATCGACCTACTACCCTGATGCCAACTGAGCCCAGGTCACAATCCTAGAGCCAGAGGGTGGGAGATGCTCCCTTTCCTGCCCACCACCCTCCCCCCTGAGGCTGCAGCCACAGGGCCAGACCTGCTCGTGGCTGCTCCTGAGGCAGAGCTGCTCCTGCTTCAGGGACTCCTGCTGGGCCTCCAGGTCAGCCTTGGCCAAGCTCAGGTCATCCAGGAGCTTGTGCGTCCCGCACATGTCCGCCTCCACCAGGAGGCGCAGGGAGCGCTCGCTCTCGTGCCTTCCATCACAAGAGGTGCAAGGTCAACAAGGTGCCCACGAGAGCCCCTCTTGGCCGACCCCGGTTCCCGCCTCCTCACAACCTCAGATCCTCATTTGTTCACTGTGCTCAGAGAGGAATTACACACAGCCCCTCTTCCAAAGGGTTCGTGGTCTAGTGAAGCAGTCACACAGTTATATTTTTACCATTGTGCATTGAAGCACCCGTGGTTCAGAAAGATCAGTTGACTTGCCTAAGATTGTGCGCCTTAGGACTCAGGACAGGGCTCACGCCATTGCATGGGCTATTGTCACATAGGATAAGCAACAGTCAGGAGACTGGACCTCGATTTGCCCCTTATTCCTTGTGTTGGGTTGTTTGGTCATCTTTCACCTTTATTTAGTGGTAATGCCTGGTGTCTGAGAGCTTCATAGGTAAGTTTGGACGCTGACCCACCTGTAAGTGGCTCTTCCAACTGAACGTGAAATTCAGTGGCTATCCTTACTCAGTTTGCTTTCAAAATCATCTTATTTTGCTCTTGGGTGATGAGCTCAGAGAGCCTTAACCTTCCATTTTAGGGAACAAATGAAGTAGGAATAATACTAGGCTATGCCATACATTATCAACTTAATAGTGTTTTTTCTCCTCTAGCTTCTGTTAATTTTCTTAATCTGGTAATTTAGGGAGGAAGAAACAGAGCAGTAATCCACTCATTCAACAAACAATTAGACACTGGGACTTAGGTGGAGGAAGGAGGTACTCAGGCCTTCTGCAGCCCTTACTTACTTGATTCTAAAATCATCCGCAGCCAGCTTCGCATTGTCAATTTGGGTAACCAGCCTGGCATTCTCAGCCTTGCTGCACAGGATCTGAGGAGAAACAGGAAGACCATTCGCACACAAACATCACACTCTGGGCTCGGCCCTATGTGTGTTGTCCACACTCCTGCTCAAGAAAGCCAAGGACCCAAAGCTCTTTGAGCCTTCAGCGATTTTTGCCTGTGATGCCCTCTACCTCCCTCAGACTCAGCACACACCCAGCTACTCCAAGCCGCACCTTCTGCTGCAGCTCCTCGATGGTCCGGAAGTAGCACTGGTAGTTGGGGCACACGGTGGTCTCATGGCATCGGCTCCACTCCCGGATGTTAGTCTCCAGTTCCGCGTTCTCCCGCTCCAGCTGGCGCACCTTCTGCAGGTAGTTGGCCAGGCGGTCGTTCAGGAACTGCATGGTCTCCTTCTCGTGCCCGTTCAGGGAGCCTTCGCCGTAGGGGCCGCAGACTCCGATGTTGCCGGGAATGTGGCAGGTCCCTGGCAAGGGGCAAGCGGTGTTGCAGCTGAGGGGCAGACAGAGGCTGGGTCGGCCCAGAGGGGTCGACCCCACGCGGACGTGGGTAGCATGGGCCAGGGTGGCTGAGAGGCCCAGGGAGGCAGCCTTGGCTTCAACCACAGGCTCGCCCCCAACATCAGCGGGGAAGACACAGACATCTCCTTCTCCGTGAGCCTTGGCGATGTCCAGAGGCTGGCATGAGCGGGTGCAGAAGGAAGCCATGGTGTGGGCTGAGGCTACACGGGAGTTTCAGAGCAGCTGGAAAGGGCAAGACTCTGCGTCTGAGAACCCCCTTCCCTCCGAGGCCTTTTATACCCCATCCCAGTGGGCGTGGGCTCAGTGCTTTGACCTCATGGCCTTGATTCTTGGCCTGCTGTTGTACCGTCACCCTGTTACTCAGCTGCTGAGTTCACCAGTAAGAGTTCCTCACCTCATTAAAGGAATGTTGATGATCTGAGGTGCCTCCTGTGTCTTTGATACCAAGTCGTCTGATGGTGGGAGGTCAGAAGTTTTTATTGTTTTCCAAAGAACAAAAGTCGTGTTAGCCATCAGATGTTTATACCTTGACCGGAGGTTGGCCCACCTTGTTGATTTGTCCTCTCTAAGGCATGACTATTGCGACTGGTCATTGGAGTAGCAGGAGAGACAAACCCCTATGCCCACAGTGGCCCTATCTGTGTTAACTCTCAGCCAGCCTTCCCTGTACTGGTTCCTCGTTACTAGATGTTATGATTTGGGTTATTAATAGGTCCTATGTGTCTTCTTTCTTCACTTGTTTGCCTTTCAGTCTCACTTGAGGGGCAATAAGACTTTGATAAGTCCATTCATTTGACGTACATCTCCTGGCCCATCCTATATGCTGGGCACTGTGCCATATGCCTGATGTGAAGTCCATCAGGCCACTTGGGTGGCCACAGGCATCTGAGAAGATCATCGGTGTGAGGGTGACCCTGAAAATCACATCTGACCTGGACCAAGAACGGCGAGCTCAGGAAGTCAGGAACAAACAAAAATGAACAATAATCTTTTTAATCCCAAATGAGAACGGGACCTTGAAACTCCAGCATCGGGTTCCCAGAGTCACCATGGATCCCCTTCCTGCCCACTTCCTTGATTCTAAAGTCTGTAAGACCTTACAGTATGTGGTAGGGGATTGATCAATGCTATTGTCGAATGGTTCTTACCATATCCTACGTGGGGTGTGTTATTATCTTAATTCTATAAAAGAAAGAAAGAAGCAGGCACTAGGGACAGAGATGTGAAGTCATTTTCCTACGATCAACCCCATTACACAGTGGCCAAGCCTGATCTCAGTGTCAGTTCCTTTTGACCCCAGAGCCTACTCTTGTTCTTGTCAACTTGACCACCAGCCCACCCCTGCCCTTCCTCGACAGAACAACTGTGTCATTGCCAGAACTAAGAAAGATTAAAAGGTCTACAAACTGGGCAAGGAGTTGAAATTAAGAGATAAAACAAGAATCTGACATTCTATATTATTTCTCCTCGTGCCTCAGAAAATACAGGTATAAGGGTACCAAAGAAATAGGGCAGGGTCTCTCCAGGGACCATACAGGAAGATGCCCAGGAGACAGTTCTATTTCCAAAATTTGTGTACTACATCCCACACCCTACTAGCTCTCGGTACTATTAGCTCTCGGTAGCAGGGAACCAAGATAGTTGACTGGTAAAGTTTCCAAAGTCTTCTCTCAAAATTCATAGCAGATGGTAGATAGGCTCCTAAGACTGAACAAGACCTAATGTGGAGTAAGACCCCCCAAAAAAGTGGTTCTAACAAGATCTTCAAGAAAATGAATATTTGTGCTTTGAATGTTGAGCAAAAAATGAACAGACACCTCTATAGGGACGAGCTATGTATAGGTGAAGCATAGGCCATGGGAGTTCTATCAAAAAGAAATACAGAATTCAGTCCAGATCGGGTGTTTAAGGAAAGGTAACTAGTAGCCAGGTTTGGCCTCGGGTTACTCGGAGCTCGACAATGAATAAGCCTTTACAGACACCGTAATTAGAAGACATCCCCAGGCCAGGCCATCCCACCCTCCAGAGGCCTCTGGGTGTGATGTGCAAAGGTTTCATCTTCAGACACCCCTTTGCTACTCCTTCCCAGCTCAGCCGTAGCTTCTCTGTGAACCGGAGAACTTGACTTTTAAAGTCGTGTCTTTTGACTTGCTAAATAGAACGCCCCTTTTGATCTTATTCTCTGGCAGGATTCATTCATTGGCTAAAGTCCATGATTTCTTCCACCTCAACATAAACAACAGTTGTTACTTTGTAACATCACTGCTGAAGCTTTATATGTTTGGATGATGCTCCTCTCTACTGAAGCTCTATTAGGGTCCTGGCTCAGGCTTCTATTGAGTGTGCTGTTTTGCATAATGACAGTGATGTTGCTTGTCCCTTTGTAAGGTCACTTGTTTCCACAGATTTGCATTTTTCTCAAATGAGCTTGGCGTGAGGATCCTTGCCCTCATACCTAGGACTGCCTGACTTCCCAGCCCTTTAAAAAGAGCCCCTGTGGCCCTTGGTGATCAGATGTGAGCCAGGTTCAGTGACAAGAAGTGGTGAGGACAGAGTGAGAGATGGATGGGACTCTTCAGTCTGTGCGCACAAAGTCCTCTGGACCAATTCTGACTTCAGAAATACCCATCTCCGGAGGCAAGAAGTCTACTGCAGATGGAAGTGAGGAGCAGTGCTCGCGAGATGTTATTTTCAAGCATGGTGTTTTACCTGTGAGTGTATCTTGGCCAGTGGGAGAGAAAGGTGTGGAGCTGCAGGCTAGCGCCTGAAAATTGTACCTGACCCACAGCCTACCCTTTCTGTGCTGCAGGACAGTGAATGGGGGCATGCAGCGGTCTGTGCTCTGTATGGGAACATCACCCACCACACATTGCAGTGGATGCAAAGACTGAAGACAACTCCTGTGTACACAGCCTCCTACTGCCATGTGTCCTAGGTGTTAGGAAATCGTGCCAAAGAAAATCATAGGTCAAGAAAACGATAAAGACTCTTAAGAGCAGAGGTTGAACATATCAGTGTATTGTTCTAGGTAGGCAGCTCTTGAAGTTTCGATGAATGGAAAAGGCACCTTTTCTTTCTAATTAGATAGGATTTTTACTATCTGATTTCTTAGATCCAGCCCCATAATCCATGTTTATTCACTTACCAATGTTATTTTTCTACCTACTGTGACATACTCTAGACACTACAAGTGCATCTACCGAAGACACAGTCCCTGCCTTAGCGTGAGGGAGACGTCTATGACAAAGCTCCGCACTGGGCCTGTGAGGGTGGTGCCACACTCCCTCTGAGGTCTTTAGACTTGTTGCCTTGCCTTTCTTCCCATTACCCTTTTGGTGGCCCAAGAGCAGATCAAAGTTGGAACTAGTCATCCTTTGCAACTGTCTAGAAAAAACACTCCGGTTTTTTCTTTACTCTTACACTCACAGCACTTCCAACACCAGATATGTGGGCTTTCCACAGGCCAAGCAATTCTCCGTGTCACCATTCAAATGTCCTGTAATTGTAACACTATCGGCCTAGAGTTAGTGTCAGATCCTGCAAGTTAAGGGCTCAGCCCCACACAACTGTCCCCACTTCAGATACCTTTTGCAATTCCCGGATTGTCACCTGTAATTTGACTGACTGGCTATAAATTAGGGTTCCCACAATCCCCTCCTTGGGTTCTAAAATTTGGTAGAATATCTCAAAGAACTCAGGGGATCACTTCATTACGTTCACTGACTTATTTAAAAGACATAGTAAAAGATACACATAAACAGCCAGATGACAAGACACACAGGGCCAGGCATGGAGGAAGGTGCTGCAATTTTTATGGAAGCTTATCACACAGGTATGATCCAGTAACTCAGCTTTTAGTCCCTGTCCTGGAGCTTGGGGCACGAGGTAGAAAGTTCCAGACTTCTGACAATAGCTTGGTCTTTCTCATGACCAGACCCCATTTAGGAGCCCGCCAGAAGTGGCCTCATTAGAACAAAAGACAGTCGTATCCCCCAGGAAACTCCACGGGACTGAGGAGCTCTGAGGCCGGAACCAGGGACAAAGACCAAACAGATAGCAGAACGACAGATGCTCCTAGTGTTCTTATCACTTCAGAAAACACAAGGGTGTTGGGAGCTCTGTGCCAGCAACTGGGGACAAAGACCGTGCACACATTTTCTATTGTTTCACAGCAGTGGAAATGGAAAATACCAAAAACCACAATTTCTGAGCTGCCTGACCTCAACCAAGTTACTTAACCTTGAAATGCACTCGCTTTTTCCCATGAACATTACAATAATATTCACAAGGGGCTGCTGGTAAGAGTGAAGGCTACCGGGGGGGTAGAGCTTCCAACATAATGCCTAGCACACAGTAGGCACTTAATGAATGTCAGCTGCCTTCCTCTTCAGGGTCTCCAATCATCACCATCATTCCCTTTTAAAAGCTTAGTGTTGTCAGAATGAATAAATACAGGGAAGGGCAGAAGTAGGTGTACAGTTGTTTGTATGGAAAATAACACAATAATTAATAATCAAAAAATAAACTCTGTGTTTCACACACTCGCAACTGTAAACCCACTTTTGCCCCACTCTATACATAAATGCATGTTCTCTGTTTAGTCTGATGTAGCTCCGCTTGTTTATTTTTTATTTTGTTGTTTGTGCTTTAGGCGTCATATCCAAGAAATCGTTGCCAAAGCCCATGTCAAGGAGACTTTATCCTACCTTTTCTTCTAGGAGTTTTAGAGTTCCAGGTCTTATATTTAAGTCTGCAACGGAATAGGCTGATCTTTGCGACAGTGCAAAGCCCGGCGGGGCTCAGTGTCTCGTTCTGCCGTAGGTCCGTGTGGAAGGGGAGCGGTGGAGCGGCCTGGGCCAGGGCCGGGCAGCAGTGCGGCCGTCAAGGGGAGGTGCCTCGCACAGAATCCTGCCTGCACAGCCGTGCCCGTGACCCTGAGCCTGGCCCACTTGACCTCCCTTTGCCTCCTCATCCACTTCCTCATAGGCACCGTGCAGGGGATAAATGGCCCCGTGTCACAGCTCAGCAGCTTATCGGCTCTGTGACTTTAGGCTCAGCTACTCATTTCTTTAAGCTTAGAATCTTTTCAACTGAGAAATGGCAAGAGCGATTCTATCTGCCTCATAGAATCATTGTGAGGATTGAGGGAACCAAGCGTACATGCCCGGCAAACTTCAGACGCCTAG